AAAAAAAGAAAATTGTAGACCAATATCCCTGATGAATATAGAGATACAAAAATCCTCAACAAAACATTAGCAAATGAAATTCCAAAATACAGCAAAAGGACCATCTATCATGACCAAGTGGGATTTGTTCCACAGATGCAAGGAGGGTAATATTTGTAAATCAGTACATTAACAAACAAACAAACATAAAAAGATAAAAACCATATGATCATCCAGTAGTGCTGAAAAAGCCTTTGACAAAATTCAACATTCATTCATGACAAAAACTCTTAACAAAATGGGCATAGAGGGAACATACCTTAACATAATACAGGCCATATATGACAAACCCACAGCTAATATCTCACTCAGTGGTGGAAAGCTGAGAGCTTTTCCTCTAAGACCGGCAACAAAACAAGGATGTCCACTCTCACGACTCTTATTCAGCATAGTACTGGAGGTCTGGCCACAACAATCAGGCAAGATAAAGAACTAAAAGACAGATTGGTAAGGAAGAAGTTAAACTGTCACTATTTGCAGAGGACATGATATTATATATAGAAAACCCTAAGAACTCCACCAAAAAAACTATCAGAACTAATAAATGGAATCAACAAAGTTGCAGGATACAAAATTAATACACAGAAATCTATTTCATTCCTATATACTAACAACGAACTAACAGAAAGAGAAATCAGGAAAACAATTGTTATCAAAAAGGAATAAAATACCTAGGCATAAACCTAACCAAGGAGGTGAAAGACCTCTACTCTAAAAACTACAAGACACTCATGAGAAAAATTAAAGACACCAATAAATGAGCATCTATTTGATAAATGGGCTCATCCATAGGAAAAATTAATACTGTCAAAATGGCTATCCTGCCTAAAGCAGTTTACAGATTCAATGCAATCCCTAACAAAATACCAATGGCATTTTTCAATAAACTGGAACAAATAGTCCTAAAATTCATATGGAACCACAGAAGACCCCAAATAGCCAAAGCAATCCTGAGGAAGAAGAACAAAGCTGGGGGTATTACATTCCATGACTTATAGCTGTACTACAAAGCTACAGTAATCAAACAGTATGGTACCAGCACAAGAACAGACCCAAAGATCAATGGAATGGGATAGAGAGACCAGATATAAACCATAAAATATATGGTCAACTAATATATGATAAAGGGGCCATGAATATAGAATGGAGAAAAGACCATATCTTTGATAACCGGTGTTAGGAAAACTGGACAGATATCTGCAAGAGAATGAAACTGGATTACTGTCTAGCTCCACACACAAAAGTAAACTTGAAATGGATCAAAGACCTAAATGTAAGACATGAAACCATAAAAGTCTTAGACAAAAAGTTAGGCAAAAATATGTTGAATATATAAGCATGAACAGTTTATTTCAGGACACATAGTCCCAGAGTAGTAAAACAAAAGAAAAAATGAACAAGTGGAATGACATCAAACTAAAAAAGCTTCTATATAGCAAAGGACACCATCAGCAGAACAAGAAGTCAATCCACAGTATGGGAGCACATATTCATAAATGATTTATGCAATAAGGGGTTAATATCCAAAATATATAAAGAACTCATATGACTCAACACCAGAAAACACAAATAACCTGATTTAAAAATGGGCAGAGAAACTGAACAGATATTTTTCCACAGAAGAAATACAGATGGCCAACAGGCACATGAAAAGATGCTCCACATCACTAATCATCAGGGAAATGCAAATCAAAACCACAATAAGATATCTCCTCATATGAGTTAGAATGGCCACTGTCCAAAAGACAAGATATAACAAGTCTTGGCAAGGATGTGGAGAAAAGGCAACCCTCCTACACTGTTGGTAGGAATGTAAATTGGTACAACCACTGTGGAAAGCAGTATGAAGATTCCTCAAAAACTAAAAATCGAAATACCATTCAACCCAGTAATTCCAGTTCTAGGAATTTACCTGAAGAAAACAAAATCCATGATTTGAAAAGATATATGAACTCCTATGTTTATTGCCACATTATTTACAATAGCCACAATATGGAAACAATCTAATTGTCCATCAGTAAATGAATGGATAAAGAATACATATACACAATGGAATATTATTCAGCCATAAAAAAATCCTGCCATTTGGAGCAACATGGATGGACCAAGAGGGATTATGCTAAGTGAAATAAGCCAGCAGAGAAAGACAAATACCATATGATTTCATTTATTTGTGGAATATAGAAACAAAACAAAACAGAATAAACAAAATAGCAGTAAATTTCATAGACACTGAGAAGTGACTGGTGGTTACCATGTAGGAGGGGTTGGGGTACGTGGGTGGGCAGGGGGATAAAGGGGTACAAAAATCTGTCAATCATAATATAATTTGGTCACAGAGATGGTAGTACAGCATGGAAAATATAGCCAATGATTCTGTAACATCTTCCTATGTTGACAGATAGTAGCTATACTAGTGGGGGTGAAGATTTAACAATATGGGGAATTGTTGAACCACTGTGTTGTATACTTGAAATCAATATTACATTGTGCATCAACAATACTTCAATAATGAAAAGTATGCACACCCAGTGTGTACCTAGGTGTGTACTTCAGAGAACTCTCATATAAGAATGTTTATAGAAGCATTGTTAAGACAGAAAAAAATTAATAAACACCTGCAGATAACCCAGCAGGTAAGCAACAGTAAGAAAAGTAAATAAGTTTTCATATATTTATCAATGGAGTACCAAATAGCAATGAAAAGGAACTACAGTGACAGACAACAACATGTTAAATACCATTAACAGAATGTGGAGTGAAAGAAGTTTGACAGGTTACATAAGGAATTATCCCATAGATCTAAAATTCAAACACAGTTATAAACACTGAATTATTTAGAGTATGATCAGCTTGATGTGTCAACTGGGCTAGATGGTACTCCACAGCTGTTCAGTCAAATACTAGTTTAAGTGTTGCTGCGAAGGTATTCTGTAAATGCAATGAAAGTCTATAACCAGTTGACTTTAAGTAAAGGAGATTATTCTAGATAACCTGTGTACACCTGATACAATCAGTTGAAATGCCTTTGGAGCAGAACTGAAGCATTCCTGAATAAGAAGGAACTCCCCTCTGTGGACTGCAGCTTCCACTTCTGCCCAGGAGTGTCAGCCTGCCCTTCCTGATGGTCTCGCCTACAGATTTTGGACTTGCCTAGTCAGCCCTCACAAACACATGTGGTAATTCCTTAGAACAGCTCTTCTTACTACATATTTCCTACTGGTTCTCTTTCTCTGGTTGAATCTGACTGACACATATTTTGGTACCAGAAGTGGTTCTAGAAGGACAGGCTCTTAAGGATGATATTCTGAATAGGATCTGGGTTTTCTGGAATTAGTTCTCTAGTTTGACTATATGTAAAGACTCTAATGACTTTATTTCTAGTAGTAAAAAGGACAACTGATAGTCAATGGAGTGATGTGGCATTAGATACACAAAAAATACCGCCATTGGATACTCCAAGCAAAGCTGTAGGTGACCACGTACATGATACCTTCAAAATTTTAGTCAGACTGAGGCATATGAGATTGGTGGCTTTCTTAACTGTGCTGGATAAAGTGGGAGAAGAAAAGGAAGTGCTCAGGGTTTCAAATTTTCAGCTCAGTATCCTCATAAAATGACCCAGAAACTTCTATATCTGCCCTGAAAGAGACCCTTATCTCCTGTTGCCTGTAGGGCTGAAATACTAAAAACTAAATGCAGAATCTCATTTTGTGAGCAGCTAAGTTACAGTGTGAATTGAATTCCCAGCCTCAAAGAGTGTCTACTGTTAAAGTGAAGGCATTGATTTGGAAGGATGGGATCCTGAGAGCTGGAATGGGGACATGTGGGGAGACCCTTTCAGTGTGGGAGACACTCCCTGAATTCTGATGAGCCTTCTTTCCCAGTTGAAGCAGCCTTTCTGCTCCCATCTGAAGGGATTGACCCTGTGTTGCCTGAGGAAACTGTTATGGCCTCCCGCAAGGTAGTTGCCTTGCAAGACGACATGTATTTTCCTCAGGACCTACCCCAACCACCCCGCTTTACTTAACTAGACTCAAGGCCCAGCAAGTCCCTAAGGGTGAGGCACAAAGGTCAAGACACTAGAATGATGAGTGCTCTCTTCCCGGCTCATAGCAGTGCCTCCTCACTGTCCCCACATGGCAGAAGGGATGAGGGAGCTCTGTGGGGTCCTTTTCTATAAGATCACAAATGCCATTCATGAGGATTTCACTTTTATGACCTAATCATCTCCCAATGTGCCCCTCCTGATAGCATCACATCAGGCTTTAGGATTTTATCGTATGGGCTTAGGGGGATAGACACAAACATTCAGACCACAGCAGTGAGGTGCCTGCCCATCACCTTCCAAAAGGTTAGTTTCAGGGTATGTGAAAGCTGGAGGCCATGACTGGAAACAATGGGGTCAAATGTAGTTCATTTTTGCAGGGAAATAGATGGAATTCATTGAGGGTCCCAAGTTTTCAGAAGTGCAAAGAGCAAGCTGCCATGCTTGCTTGTGGATAGGAGGTGGTAAACAGGTTGGGATGTAAGACCCATAATCCTACCTGCAAATGTCATATTTAGACACTTAGCAAAATATTATATTAGAAAATATCATATTTAGCCAGTGTCATATTTAGACACTTGGAAGTATGGTTACCAAGTAACAGGTTACTCAATAGAGGCCTCAGTTTCTCTATCTGTACAATGGAAATAATAAGATCCACTGTCCCAGACTGGAAAGGATTAAGTGAGAGATGCATGTACAGTCCTTGGCACTTAGTGGGACTTAGTAAATAGCAGCTATTAACATTTTTATCATATGTAGACCCATTTTGGGTTTGTTCAAACTATCCAATATATTGGTAATTTACATTATAATAACTAACAAATGTTATCCTCAGCAGATGCAGATCTGTGGAACCTGAGCAGCATCTGTAGCAGCTGAGAAGCCATTCTAGGCTCTTAACCCAGGGATTTGGCAGCAAGTTGATCTGAAGATGTCCGCCAGGGTGCTGTGGGGCAGCTTCAGCCTGCTCCGCCTGGTTTGGTGTCTCCTTCCGCAGACAGGCTACGTGCACCCAGATGAGTTCTTCCAATCACCCGAGGTCATGGCAGGTAATCCTCACCGTGTGTGGTTAAGACAAGTCACAGCAAAGTCTAGATTGGAGCTGACTGAATAGTTAGTGGGGAGGGAGAAACATGTCTCTGTAGATGAGCAGTAAATCCATGAGCCTCTCTGGAATAAGAACTTGGGAGTGGAGACTTCATCTCTCCCGAGTGGTGACATTGACCTTCTAGGTGAAACTAATGAAATTCTGACCTCTTTAATGTTTTCCGCTTGGACCAAAGTACAGGCTATTCAGAACAAGAGCTGTTTTGTACTTCTCAGTATAGGGATTTTATAATTGGGCTTCCCCATGGATTAGGGAAGCTTACACAGGCTTGTGGTCTGAGATAATGAAACTTTTCTTCTCTAGGTTCATCTGAGGGCTGAGGGAACCCAGATCTGGAACGCTCCCTTGTGAGAACTTCTCTGCCAGGTGGTGTAGGACACACCAGGTTGAGAATGATTGCTGGGGACCTTGAAGCTTTTCAGATGCTGTCAACAATGGTTTCCACCCCCTGATTCAAGACGGCTGCTTGAGCTCCATTCATCAAGTCTAAAACTAAGTCTTTCCAGACTGCAGAGAAGAGATGGGCATGCCTGCTCTCCTTAAAGGCATATTTTGAAAGTCACATACTTTCTGCCCATTTCCTGTAGGTCAGAATGTGTCACATGACCACTCCTCACTGCAAAGGGAGCTGGACAATACAGCCTTTATACCTGACTAAATACCCAGCTAAGAGACCTAGGAAAGAGGAGGGAATGGATACTGGGGTGACACCCAGCTATTTCTGCCACAGAGTTCAACAGGTGGATTTGTTTTTTAAGTAGAAATGTCTCCTCTTTTCCACACCTTTTGTTTTTTTTTAAGCTGAGCCAGTTAAAAGCAGCCAGGTTGATCTGGTCCTGGATTTTCTGTTTCCCTCTCACCTTTTGACATAGAGAAAACAGCCAAAAGGCTGGAGGATTAAGTGGCAGAAGCTAAGAGCCCAGAACAACCCAAGTTTGAGATGTTGTGGGGCTTGGAGCTGAGATGCAGAAATTAAGAGTTTGTTCCCCTCACCCCCAGCCTGCAGAGCTCTGGGCCACTGGGGCACGGGGCACAGACCAGCCCCAGGCAGCAAGTCATTTTTAATTACATAAGTATTGCTTCTTATAACAATTTAGGTATCATAGACAAAATTAAAGTCATTTTTACATAACCACAATTGCTCATTCCCTTCCCTCAGTCTCAAACTGCCTATCCTGGATGACAATCATAGTCACAGAGATGGTCTTTGACTCTGACTTTGGAGCCTCCACCGGCTCCTCTCCATACACTCTTGTCACCTCACTTCCCAGCTGTGGTTTCCCCTGTCCCCTTCACAGGTGGGACCTCGGGAGGGCTGAGCTCTCCTATGTTCATTTCTATTGCTGTAAACAAATCATCACAAACCTAGCAGCTTACAATGGCTAGTTCACAGTTCTGTAAATCACAAGGCTGGCATGGGCTCTCTGTTCAGGGTACCACAAGGTTGAAATCAAGGCATGGACTGCGCTGAGTTTTTTCTGGAAGCTCTGGTGAAAAATATGCTTCCAAGCTCGTTCTTGTTAGTTTATTGCCACTGCAGAACTGAAGGCCATGATTCCTGGCTGGCTGTCAGCCAGGGGCTGCTCTCAGCAACTAGAAGCCACCTCATTCCTTGCCAATGGCTCCCCCCATCCTCAAGCCAGCAGCGGTGCCTCAAATCCATCTCACAGTTTAAATCTCTGACATCCTCTTCTGCTACCAGCTGGAGAAAACTCTGTTTTTAAAGGGCTGTGTGATTCTGTCAGGCCCACTGGATTTTCTACCTATTTTGTCATCACCTGTGATGGAACCTAATCACAGGAGTAAAATCCATCATCTTCACAAGTATGGTGAAGGGTGTGTACATAAGGGGGCTGGGAACTCTTGGGGGCCATCCTAGAATTTTGTCTACCATATTCTCTGAACTTGAAACTGACTCACCTCTGCTTCTCTCTCTACAGAGGACATCCTGGGCATAGAGGCCGCACGGCCCTGGGAGTTTCTCCCCAGCAGCTCCTGCCGCACAGTGGTCTTCCCACTGCTGACCTCTGGCTCTGCCTTCTGGCTTCTCAGGCTCTGGGAAGAGTGGGGGCTGTGGCCTGGCCCCATGAGTGGCTACGCGCTGCTGGCAGGGCCCCGACTCCTCCTCACCACCCTCTCCTTTGCCCTGGACGTGGCTGTGTACCACCTGGCCCCCCTCTGGGAGGCGGAGCGCTGGAACGCCCTGGCTCTGCTGTCTGGTTCCTATGTCACCCTAGTCTTCTACACAAGAACCTTCTCCAATGCCATTGAGGGACTGCTTTTGGCATGGCTACTGGTACTGGTGTCTCGCCGTGTGGTTTGGAGCCCCACAGCTGAGCAGCCTGCCTCAGGCCCCTGGTGGCACAGCTGGCTTCTCGGGGGCATCGTGGTTGCTGGCTTCTTCAACCGACCCACCTTTTTGGCCTTTGCTCTGGTCCCCCTCCTTCTCTGGGGCTTTTGTGGAGTCACAGACCCTGGCTTCAGGTCGCTGACCAAGGAAGCCCTGGTGCTGCTGCCAGGGGCAACACTCACAGCAGTGGCGTTTGTGGCTGTGGACAGCTGGTATTTTTCCAGTCCCTCTGCCAGTACCCTTGTCCTTACACCTGCCAACTTCTTGCATTACAACCTGAATCCTCAAAACCTGGCCAGGCATGGCACACACATGCGGCTCACTCACCTGGTGGTCAATGGCTTCCTGCTGTTCGGGGTGCTGCATGCCCAGGCCCTGCAGGCTGCCTGGGAACGGCTGCAAGCCTGCCTCCAGGCCTTTGCACACCTGGGCTTCCTGAAGTCACTGGGTGCCCGGAACCTGCTCTCCAGCCCCAGGTCTTGCCTCCTGCTCCTCTACTTCATGCCCCTGGCCCTGCTGTCTGCCTTTAACCACCAGGAGGCTCGGTTCCTGATACCCCTCCTGATTCCCCTAGTCCTGCTTTGCAGTCCACAGACCCAGCCTGTACCCTGCAAGAGTAGCCTGGTCCTTTTCAATGGCCTGGGCGCCCTCTTCTTTGGCTGCCTACACCAGGGTGGCCTCCTGCCTGGCCTGGAGCACCTGGAACAGATAGTCCATGCCTCTGTGCTCCCCAGCATACCTACCCACTACACGCTCCTCTTCACCCACACCTACATGCCGCCCCGACACCTCTTACACCTCACTGGCCTGGGGTCACCTGTGGAAGTGGTAGATATGGGTGGAACTGAGGACTGGGTCCTGTGCCAAGCCTTGAACAACTTCACCAAACAACCAGCCTGCCAGGTAGCCGGTGGGCCATGGCTCTGCCGCCTTTTCGTGGTGACCCCTGGCACCACCAGACCTGCTGTGGAGAAGTGCAGCTTCCCCCTCAAGAGTGAGGCCCTCATGTTTCCCCACTTGACCCTGGAAGATCCGCCAGCCCTGTCTTCCCTGCTGAGTGGAGCTTGGAGGAATCATCTCAGCCTTCACATCCTGGAGCTGGGGGAGAAGCCTGACAATATGACAGAAAAAACACTGCCCATGATTCAGCCATAGGAAAGTGCCACTCCACTTCTATATGGGTAGCTGGGCTGGGCTGATTCTCTTCCTTTCCTTTCCCTTCCAGAATTCCCACCACAGCCTCTTCTGTGCACAGCCTTCGGCTGCTCTCCCTGACGGGTAAGCTGGTACCCTTTCCCCTCAAAGACCAAAAGTCTAATGAATCATGGTCCTGAGGCCAAGGTCCCCAAAGCAGTGGATGTAACCAGTGGTGCCTGATGTTTGTTCCTATTCATTGCAGCCACTGTGATATTTTAAATATATAACTAGCATATGGTTGTGCAAAGAGACAACGACCTAATAATATTCCTGAAAAACATCTCCCAAACCTTCCAGTATGCCTTACCTTTGCTGTCAAGACAATCCCTTGGCTTCCTAGCTACCTGGGGAGGCAGTGTAGTGGTTAAAAGAGCAGGTAGCTCAGATTCAGGGCCCCAAGTTCTAGTACCTGCTTTGCCAATCTCTGGCAGTGCAATCTTAAGAAAGTCCCCTCCCCTCACCCAGCTTCAGTTTTCCAATCTGTACAATAGACCAGAGGATCTCAAAGTATCTGTAGCCAACACTGTGCTGTTCCTGGTTCTGTAGCACCTGTCCCCTGGCTAGACAGGTATGTGTCTCCCAGAGCTCTTTAACATAGAAGTGGATGTGGTGGTGTAATTAATGGCACTTGGGTGCCTGCTGACTTAGTGTTCAGCTGTTACTAAATGAAGTAGTTTTGGAATCTCTCCCCCCTTCTCTTCTACTCCTGTCTCTGAGAGAGGTGGATGGACTTTCTTCATCTCACCCATTAAGGACCATTCTCCCAGATTAGAGAGCCTACATGTTCTCCCTACTCTGCCTGCCCCAGTGGGAAGGGAGAATATACAAAGCTCAGGCAGTATCCAGCAGCACTTGAGGACACCCTGGTTCTCCGAGAGGCCTTCTTGCATGTGGTCTGGGCACTCTCCAAGCTCAGAGCCCCCATCTGACACTCTCCTCACAGAATGGAGAGCAAACCCCATGCCAAACCAACACATCACACCCCAACACATTGCTCCCCACAATGTAACCCCTTGAGCAGTCCACTGGGAGTGGGAGGAGCTTGGCACTAACTCTGTCTTCATTCTCTCCCCACATTCCTACTGTCTCATGAGAACCAGAGGCACGCAGGCCACAGAGGTCAGCAAACTGGAAGTCAGCACAGAGCAGGAGACCAAACCTACCCAAATGCCCAAAGCAGAGCACTTCCCTAGTCCTGCCTTCCTCTGGCTAAAAGGTGGGTCCCCTTAAAGCCCCAGCTCGGCGGCAGCTGCTAGGGTTAGTGCCAAACCTTCCTCATGACTCCAACCCCGGGGAGGAAGGAAGTCAGTGGTATGCTGGTAAATGTTTAGCAACCCATTCTCTGGAGTAAAAAAGCCCCAGTTGGTAGTGTTTGGTTTCCATGATATAAATACTCCCACCATGGCTGACTTCAAACTACTCAAATGTTACTGAACTCCTAGTTGGAGGGAGATGCCAAGGATCTGCTCTTATGCATCAGTATAAGCTGGATCTAGCACACTACCAGCCATTTTCCTCCTTTAAATCCTATAGTACCCATTCATGACAATTCATCATTCTTGTGGCTTATGTTTCTGCCATGAATCTCTGATCTGTCTTCCTACCCCTAATGCTTAGCATCATCTTTGGCACATAAGCATCTAATTGTTTACTTTGCAGCCAAAGATGGCATTTATACCCAACAAATAGAAACCAAGTGCCACTTTGGAGCCACCACAGACTTGAGGGTCCCAAACCCTCTGGGCTTCTTGGAACTTCTTCCTTTTCCCTCCCCAAGTTGGATCCACCACCCCAGAATTCCCTGGAGGAAATGTTGGTGTAGCAGTACATGCAGATGGTGGTGGTCTAAGCTCTAATAAAGTTGTCTATCAAGTGTGGGTATCTAGAACTATGTAGCTTCAAGGGGTGAGTTGGAATTGTCCTGCAGGATAGTGGGGTGGGTTGTTCTGTTTCTGTAAACTGGGTAGCTAGTGAGATGACAAGCAATGAAGCAGAGAAGCATCCAAATCACCTGTGGCTGGAGCAGAAGGGCCTCACTTTTCTGTCTGATCCCAAACTTCGATAAAATGGAGAGAATTGTTCTCATAAAAAATAATAAGCAACTGCCCCAGTCTCTTGCTCCCCTGTTCTTACCAAGTAAGTTTATCTAGAAGCTTCATTGCTTCTTCTACTGCTCCCTTTTGTCTCTCAGTTAGAAGAAAACCTAATAGTGTATGTACTTGTTTATTGAGGGTACTGGGCTGGACTGGGAACTGCTAACAATCTGCTCTGACATCCAGAGACCAATGAATGGGATTGAGACCAGTGAGGCACATAAGGCAGTAGGATGAACAAGCTCTTTGGGCTCCTGACTTCCAAGCTCAGAGGAGAATCCAGAGAGCCACCTCTGATGGGAGGATGCCAAACTAGGACTTTGGTCATTAGGAGAGTGGGATTTCGGTCCTGAAAGAGGATTAAATAGTACCTCTGATGAGAAAGCTGGTGGATGAGATGTCAAATCAGAAGTTTGACCATTAGGTTAGTGGAGAACAAGCTACTTTAGCTTCCCCATCCCCAGGGTAGGTCTTTCGCCCTATCAAGCTCCCTGTTATTATGCCAGAGTATAAATTGTTTGGTCACCAATTTAGAAGCTTCTCCTGTGGCTTCAAGCTTTCTAGATTGCATGATTAACTGTGCAGCCTCATTACAGATCAGAAATTCGGTCAGAAGCCTCAAGTGACAGGGTATTTCTGTATACAGTGGATTTGCTAATCATTGGCACATTAGCTGGACAATAGTCTTTAGATTATATTCCAGACCCTCTAAAATAGGGAACAGATATCTAGATAGCTTGTTTCATGGTGGACAGCAGTCCCAGTGGCAGTAGGGTTCAATGGTGACTTGGGCGGGGCAGGGGGAGGGGGTATGTATCTTCAGGGGCTGAAGGTCAGAGTAAATGCTGCAGAGGGCTGTGATTAAAGACTTAGGCCCTGGAGTCAAACACCTGTATCCACATCCCATTCTGTAAGGCCATGGGCAATCTAAATAGACTACCCCTCCTGTGAAAATGCTTGTAAAGAATAAGTGAGATAACCCACACAGAGTAAGCACTCAACATGTGTTAACTAGTATTACCATGTCCAACAATCCCCCGATTCCTAATCCATCTCGCTGGAGAAATATCACATTCATACCCATTACTCAGTTCACATATTTAATAGAGGATTTTGGCAGCAGCAAAGTTGTCTTTCCATCCATGATCTCCGCTGCAAGTAGTGCGCTTCTGTATCACTGCAGAGGCAGCATCATCTGCCGTTGGTTTTCCTCCCATTCGCAGACGGCTGACTCTCGGACTACGGTTTGGTCCATTGCTCTCTGTATGCCCAGCCTATCTTCACTTCCGTCAGACTTCGGGGGCTTTTTTCCACACACTGCCTTGTCACATCACAGTACCTCGCGGGGCATGTCGGTATAGCCTGGGCTCTCTGCTGAATGGAACCTTTGTAGGCCGACAATCCGAGTCAGAATTCCAAACAGTGCGTAGTGCCCAGAGAATGACTCCTTAGCGCCGAAGCCTATGTCAAGCCCAGAAGGGAAAGAGGCAACCTCGGTCCGGCCCAGCCAGGTTCAAGGGTTTCCGCGCGGGCCCCTCTGGCTACCTGGTGGTGGCCCAGGGCGCTCCCGGAGGCCGCGGCGTAGCTCCTGAGTGAAGGTATCTCTGAAGCGGGCAGCGCGGCGGCCCAGGGAGCCCGCAGGCCCAGCCGCGAGGGCTCGCAAACGCCGGACAGCGTCCTGGCCGCGTAGCTGGGCCTGGAGCAGTGCGAAGGCCGTGAGCTGCGCCGCCCGCCTGATGGGCCGCGACTCGGACAGACGCTCCACCAGCTGCGGGCTGTGCAGCAGGGCGGCCAGCAGCCGCCGCATAACCATCCTCGGAGCGAGCCGGAACCCGGAGCGAGCCGCTCTCACCTCTGACCGGCTGCGCCAGACGACGGACCCCGTTTGCGCCCGCGCCGCTCAGTGACGACACTGATGCCCTCGGATTGGCCTGCTGGAGTCTCACGTTCTACAGCTGTCTCCTTACGTTTCCGGATCCGCCAACGCCGTGACGGCCTCGTTATTCCTGTAGTGGCGGCGGCCTCCTTCACCTCTGCACTATGTCCGGTAGCCTCCTAAAGGCCCTGCGCAGCGACTCCTACGTGGAGCTGAGCCAGTACCGAGACCAGCACTTCCGGGTGAGAGAGGCCGGGCCTCCAGAAGGGAAGGCCCTGGGCCGGAACGCTGGGACTCGGTCTTCTCTGAGAAGTCTCACTGTGTCGTCTCCTACGCTGGGGTTTCCCCAAACGAAGTGAGGCTCTCGTGCCTCCTGGGGAATGGATGCTCAAGGGCGTTTGGACAGCAGGGAATCCTCTTCTCTCGTAAAAAAGAATTTGAGGCTCGCTGTCTTCTTCCCTTGCAGCCGCTCCCTGTTACGGGCCAGTGCAGAGGGGTTCGAGCGGCAGTAGCCATGGTGGCTCACGTTTTCACGGGCAGTGCCTCGGGATGGTGACTTTGTGATAAGGAGAAGGGGCGTCTTAAGACACTTGGAATTTGTGGAGGCGCCTTTCTGACCTAGATACCGGGGCTTTTATTACTTCTTAAATTTTAAATTAGATAAACCAAAATGCCCTTCGGTAGTAATAGTCCTTTCCGTAGTCTTTGTAGAACGGTCCTACAGAGTTCTGTGCGGTGCGTTGTAGAACGGTCCTACAGAGTTCTGTGTGGTGCGTGGGAGACAAGTTGAGCCCTGTCTCCATCCACGGAGTGGGGAGGTGGACCAGCCAAGCTAGGAACAGTAAGTGTCTGTATGTCAAGGTGAGAGGAGCTTCTGGGTTTCACAAGAAGAAATTTTAGTGTCGCCTCTGTCATAGATTATGTGGAAAAAGGGAAGACTGCAGATGTTCAAGGTGGGCACTTTGTATCAGCAAAGGCGAGGATGCGGTGGAGCAACACGCATTAACCACTGGTTATTGAGTAAGCTTTTATTGAGTGCTGTTGCTGAAGCCTTCTGTAAGCCTCAGAGGGGGAGGGAAGACAAGTTTGCGCACCCGAAGAGTTCATAATCCTCTAGAAAGGACTGTAAATGGCGGCAAACAATCACGTAGAGCAGAAATGAGCGGAAAGGGAAGGGCTGTGAATATTCAGGAGAGAAGCTTTGTGACTAGGAAGGGAGAGGGCGCGTGTAGATGAGAGTAGGGTGTAAAATGTGTTACTAGGGTAGGGAAAAGGAAATTTTGTTTGTGAGGCCAAATTGAGGAAGATCTTAAATTCACTCAGTCGACCATTTTTAAATGCTTTCTGTATGCCTGGTATGATTTTCACTTCTATCATTTATACAGTTTTCATTGTCTTTGAAAGTTTTGTATCATAGCCATCTTAATTTCAAGCATCCTGCAAGAGTAAAACTGGAAGGATTGGACTTTGGAATTATTCATCTCTAAAGCCTATATCTTTATTTAGATAGTAATAAGGTACTGTCATGCGGAAATTTCCATCTCGTATGAAATCCACATTAGTGTATCTTTAAGTACTTACACCACAGTTGTCTTAAGCTGTGGGCTGTTTGGACAATACTTACATGTGTGAAGAAAGTAGAAAGAATAAAGAATATGCCTCCTGAGCATAATTTTAACAAATCAATAACAGTAGTGATATAAATAAAGTGAATGAACTTTAATGTCTCATTCCAAAATTCTGAAGACCTATTTTTTATGAGAATGACTCTTGTCCTGTGACTTTTTAAGGAAGTATGGGATTGAGGATAAGTATAGGTTTGGATTCCAGGTGCAACTGCTGAATAGTTGAAGAACCTTAACAAGTTAATGAAGTTAATAGAAATTAGTACCTACTGCTTCAGTTCTGAGAACTAAATAAGACCTCATCCGTGGAAGCCTGTGGCCTGAAGTCCCTTGATTTTCCTTAGAGGCAACTTAACCTGTTTCTTGTATATGGTATCTATGTATATTTATACTTTAAAAAGATATAATTTGTAGAGCCATCACCCAGATCAAGTAGCAAATATTCTAACTTTCCCCCCCTTCATCTATTTTATCAATCTCCCTCCTCTCCCATGGCAGCCACCATTCTGTTTTCTGTGTTTATGAGTCTATTTCTGTTTTGTTTTTCAGATACCACATATAAGTGAAGTGATACAGTATTTGTCTTTTTCTACCTTACTTAGTATAGTACCTTCTGGGTCCGTGTTGTCACAAATGGCAAGATTTCATTCTTTTTTTATGGCTACTCCATTGTATATGTGTGCCACATCTTTACAAAAGGTAGTGAGAATGTTTGATATCTTGATAAGTGTGGTGGTTATGAGTGTATACACATGTCAGAATTTATCAAGCTGTGCACTAAGATTTGTGTACTTTATGTATCTATGATAAAAAATAGAAATAAAAATACAAGAGATAGAGCTGAACAGACAGTTCTCCAAAGAAGAAATTCAGATGACCAACAGACACATGAAAAGATGCTCCACATCGCTAGTCATCAGAGAAATGCAAATTAAAACCACAATGAGATATCACCTCACACCAGTAAGGATCGCCACCTTCCAAAAGATAAACAACAACAACTGTTGGCGAGGTTTTGAAGAAAGGGGAACCCTCCTACACTGCTGCTGGGAATGTAAATTAGTTCAACCATTGTGGAAAGCAGTATGGAGGTTCCTCAAAAAGCTCAAAATAGAAATATCATTTAACCCAGGAATTCCACTTCTAGGAATTTACCCTAAGAATACAGCAGCCCACTTTGAAAAAGACAGATGCACCCCTATGTTTATCACAGCACTGTTTACAGTAGCCAAGAAATGGAAGCAACCTAAGTGTCCATCAGTAGATGAATGGATAAAGAAGATGTGGTACATATACACAATGGAATATTATTCAGCCATAAGAAGAAAACAAATCCTACCATTTGCAACAACATGGATGGAGCTAGAGGGTATTATGCTTAGTGAAATAAGCCAGGCGGAGAAAGACAGTACCAAATAATATCACTCATATGTGGAGTATAAGAACAAAGAAAAAACTGAAGGAACAAAACAGCAGCAGAATCACAGAACCCAAGAATGGACTAACAGTTACCAAAGGGAAAGAGCCTGGGGAAGATGGGTGGGAAGGGAGTGATAAGGAGGGGGGGAGAAAGGGGCCATTAAGATTAGCATTTATAATGTGGGGGGAGGCATGGGGAGGGCTGTGCAACACAGAGAAGACGTAGTGAGTCTACAGCATCTTACTGTGCTGATGGACAGTGACTGTAATGTGGTTTGTGGGGGGGACTTGGTGAAGGGAGGAGTCTAGTAAACATGTTCCTCATGTAATTGTAGATTAATGATACCAAAATTTAAAAAAAATACAAGAGATAGGATTACCCCCATTAAAAAAATTATACTCCATTCTTTAGCTTCACCCTAATGTATTTAAGTTCCTATTGATGGATATTTAGCCTGTTTCCAATGAGGAATATTTTGGGATATTTCTTTCGCTATTAGAAATAACCCAAACATCCCTGATTTTATGCATGTGCAAGTATATCTATATTTTAAATTCCAACATTTTGACATTGTTAGCCCTCCTTTGAGGTTGTATTCACTTATACTCCTACCAACAATATGAGTGTCTTCATAAACTTGCCACAGTTATTTTTAAATATTTTTTGTAGTTAATTATAAAAATAAAAGTTATTTTACTAGCCACATGGGTTTATTCAGGAATAGAGAATTGCAATTTAAGACATGCAAGCTATAGCAAAACCATAGGCATGCCTAACACACAAAGGAGAAGAACGTTATGTTATGGAGAAGGAGGAACTTGGAAGGGGTTGTTTTGAAGGAAAGTCTGGAGAAAAGCAAGAGTTCAGGATGATGAGGTTTTTCATTGGCTGAGTCATAGAAGTAGTCAGTTTTTTGTAGGAGATGCAATGTGCATCTTTTCTGGTTGGGGCCTGTAATCAATGATTCCTTCCTATTGAAGGTTCTTAATTTGGGGTCTGTAATTGACAGTTGTTCTTATAACTGGCAAAGAGTGGTGTAGCTCCCCCTTCTAACCTCCAGACTCCACTTTGGTGACTTTTCCTTTTATTAATTTTCACATTTCCCCTTTTGATCAAGATCTTTCTCTGAAAACACCACTGATCAAGTGTCAGGTTTTCTTTGAGTAATGGTTTTGTTCCTTAGTGCCAGGAAGGACGTTTCCTGGTTGTCATGTCCTGCATCAGAGGGCAAATGCGTGGCAGCTGGAAAGCACTTAAGGCCGCATTTGATTAATAAGGAAGATCAGGAGGGAGAACTCAACAGACACGTCCCAAGTATAGTCCTTATTTATGAAGATCATAAGCACTGAACATCGTTTTCTTACTGAGTACATAATTTTTTACAGAAGTTTGACAGGCAGTAAAATTCAAAACTTAAAATAATTATACAAACATAAGGTGTAATATGACAATTCCAAATTGCATGTTGGTTCTAAACCAGGACCCTAGGTCTGAAAGCCAAATGAAGTATTTATTGACACTAACTCCTCCCGACTTAGGGGGAAAAAGTTCCTGTGCAGGCCAACCCAGTCATGTATGCCTTCTGGCAGTCCCTGCTCAAAGTGCCTGTGAAAGCAGAATAGTGTATACTGTAAGAGCACCCTGAAAGAAATAACCAAGTGCATTTGGGAAGATACAGTGTAGGTATAAATATGACGCAACAGCTGATGAACTTTTTGCAAAAGAGCAAAACATAAAGACATTTAAAAATAGTATTGTTATGTCAATAATGTTGGGAGCCAATTGTGTTACCAAAAACATAGTCTGTAAGGTGATAATTTCAGAGACTATGAATTTGGCTAAGAATCCAAAGCCAGTTAATAATTAAGATGAAATAAAGACTTGTGAATCTGAACCTTTCAGACCTTCAGAAAGCTCATGTGGTCATGATGAAGCTATTTCCAAAAGGCTGTATCAAAAGAAGAGTCTTCCATTTGCAAGGTTGTGGGAAATGCAGGCAGAGCATTTTCTTTCCACAAAAGAGAAGCTGCAAGTAGTGAGAAAAAGAATACAGGCCTGGTCCAGACATCTTGGGAAAGCCATCTCGTCCGATGTCATCTGCTTCGATTCCAGTGAATCTTTATTTTCAGGTCACCAGATGGAGTGCAGATCCAGTCAGGGTTTGGTCCTTTCTTTCTCTCTTTTTTTTTTTAGGAGAGCCAGAGAGGATTTTATTGACAGATACAGAGAGAGGATGAGCTCCTGGCTCATGCCAGGAGGGAACAAGAGAGCCCTGGTCCTTTCTTCAGATGTGTCACATGAATCCCAAGAGTCTATTCCCCGGAATTTGTTGGCACAAGGGTTGGTTAGCAGTTCCTGATGAGGAACTTTCCAGTGAGGTTGAAGAGAGTCTTTCTGGAGTTGTCTTTTCTAAAGACAAATCTCCAGGTTCAAAGGTGTAATGCTTAAGGTCTTTGTCTCCCAGAAGCACACTGTGAAAAGATTGCTCTTCAAAGCATGGTTATTTTCAATATATATAAGTAATTAGATCTTTACAATATTGAAGTATGGCTCCTTTATCAATGGAGGCAGGGGCCAAGTGCACTGGACATCCTGAGACTTCTTAAAGGGTGAGAGTCTACATGTTCCAAAGGGTGTGGATCTGAGATTTAGGACTAAAGGTAGTATGGAGAGTCTCTACAAACTTAGGCCAAGGTATTTGGAGAGTCTCTACAAACTTTGCCAATGAGTCTTAGTGCCATTAGTGTGTATAACTAACCCTGAAGATTGAGGGTGGTATGCACAATGAAAGCATAAAATGGGCCACACAGCCCAGACTGATCAATGTACCTGACCAGTAAATGGGTTTCTCAATTACTATGAAGTTTAAGATGAGTTCCCCAGGAGGGATAATCTTTTCAAACAGGCATTTTAGCCACAGAAAAAGCATTGACCCATCTACAAGAGAAAGCTTCAGTCCAGTGAAAAAACATACAAACCTTGACTAAAACATTTATCCATGACATGGGAAGCTGTACGAAATCAATTTGCTAAACCTCAGATGGCCCACTGGGCAACTGAAATGCCCAGAGGGCTGCGTGGGCAAGTATCTCAGGATTATACTTTTAACAGGTGGGACAAGTGAGGTAGGTACTTTTTGTGGCCTTACTAGTATCACCGATACTGGTTCATGAACGCTCTGATTTTGTCCTGACCAATGGCTTAATGAATGTACAGTGGTAAGTAGTGGGACTTTTAGAATTTCTGGTAGAGCTGGATTGTTTGTTTCAAACGAAAGTTTTCTCTTTTTATTAAACCAACAATTTCTAGATTTCCAATACTGTTTTTCATTTCCAGGGCCAATTGTGTATATTTTTCAGTTTTTCTGAATTATCATTTGGGAGAACATCCTTTTGGAGCATGACAGAGGTTTGGATATTTATTACCTTGAGAGCAGTGTTTTAGATAGAAATATCAGCAAGGTGGGGTCCTTTGACCTCCAGGGAATCAAGTCTAGAATACCTAGGAACCTTACTAGTCACAGCCAACAGCAAAAGCACTGCACCTAATAAATTTTGAACATATGAGCCATTTCTAATTTTATCCTCATTAGAGCTAAGAAACCTCATTGTTCCCATAATACCCCCAATGTTGTGAGCTACCCCAAAGGCATACTGACTATCAGTATAAATGTTTGCAGTTTACCCTTGGCTTAAGGTACAAGCCTCAGTTAAGGGCATAAAGCTCAGCTTGCTGGGCCAAAGTAGCCAAAAGTAGAGGTGCTGGCTCAATAATTTCAAAAGTAGTTGCAATACTGTACTGCATGATACTTACCATTTAAATTCTTTAAATAAGAATCATCAGTAAACCATGAAAAAGCTACATTGTTTAACAAGGAGTTTCCTGTAAATTGTCATGGAAAATCAAAAGGTGATCCATTAGTGTTAAGTAGTCGTTAAGGGGTTTCATCTAGATCCACATATAATCCTATTCTGAGATCAGATGCCTTAGGTGCCAGACCTGAATATAAGCAAAATGCAGTTTTTCTTTGGAGACTTTATGTCCCCTTAAATCTAAAATTTTTAACAGGTGAATGTTGTCTTCCTATGGAGAGTTTTGAGAAGGGGAACAGAGAAGCAAATCATCTAGATATTGTACAAAGTAGAGACTACAGAAAATTATGCATCATCCAAATCAGCTTTTAAAGCTTGTGAGAAATAGGGACCTTCTGTGAAACCTTGGGGCATTACTGTCCCGTTGTATTTCTGTTCTTCTCAAGTGGAAGCAAAATGATCCTGGCTATCCTTATCAAGTGGAATACTGAAATGCACTGCATAGATAAATTACAGTGAAAAATATGCTTTCAGTGGGAATGGTGTCAGCAGCTTGTGGGGTCAGGAACAACAAGGTGCTGAAGGATAACAGTGTAATTTATACAGGGGATAAAGAGGCCTTGAGCACTGTACTTTTCTATCATGGGCTTGATGCTTTGAAGGGCTTGATTAATTCTGGGAGAGGTTTTTAAGGGATCTATTTGAATCTTAATGGGAGGTGCACTATGGATTCTGCCAATAGCAGTTGAAGATCTTGCCAATAAATAGGATGGTAGCTGATCCATAGAAACAAATGGTCAGTGCCCTCAGACTGGCTATAGTGCCATCAGAGATGGAGCAAATCAAAGATGTTTAGGGGTCATTTAATTACTCTGGTTGATAATTTTGACTACTGTCAAATTCTAGAATTATTTACCTTTTGGGAGAAATGCTGGCATGTTCTTTATTTAAAGAACTCTTGGCCCAATAAACTAATAGGGGCAGAGGAACTAAGGAGAAAGGGTATCTCTCAAAGGGCCTAAACAAAAGGGAGTAGGTTCAGAGACAGGAACTTGTTGGGGTTTATGACACACCTCACTATATGAAGTGTTTTAGTGTTCTGAGTACGGGTTGCGTTATAGCAGTGGGCTTGAGCCCAGGAAATGTAGCCCAGTGTCAGTCAGGACAAAGAGGCCTATTCCTAATCTGGGAGGGTGGTTTTTCTGAGCTGATTAAGAGGGAGGATTGGAAGAGCCAAATAGTGCTTGGTATTCCATCATTGGGAACTAGGAGGACATTGGAAAGTCTGGCTAACAAGCTGAAGGGCCTGAGGCACTTTAATTTGTAACAGTCTTTTTTGTAATATCCAGGCTCTTTGCAACAATAGCAACAACTAGGTTTTTGGTTTTGTTTAGGGGTCTTCATTTGCCAAAGTTGAAAGTTGAGAATTTTAGCAGTCTTTCTTTTAGGTGACTCACCTATGGTGTGGAGAAGCTGGTTTGCCAAATTAACTAAATCTGGAGTGGACATGGTTTTCCATTCCATCCTGGTCCTTTTAACTGAAAGAGAAAGATCCTGGTTCAACCTGTAAAAGTTAAATGCTATCAGGGTAGATTCAACACCTAAAGGAAGACCAGAATTTTCTTTAAAGACAGTCTAAAGTAGATTATAACAGTTACGAACAGGTTCATCAAGCTTTGTGTGGAAGTCTGAATTTTTTTTCCAATTAACCAGTTTAGGAAAAGCTACTGTAAATTACTCAGTGGAGATTTCCAGCAGGTGTTCTAGCAGTTTGCCAAAAGTTAGGGGTCTGTCTCTCTAAACCCCTTTCAGGATATTCACATACATCAGCAAACATGTGGACTAATTGATAAAATTCTGAGAATCCATGTCTGTTAAGTTTGAATTAACTCTGTTAAACTCTTCAGCAAACCAAGGAGCTTAGTTACTTTACGGGACTCTTTTAACTATGGCTTGCAGTTTGTCTTTAGTCCAGGGAGCATAAATTCAGAGTTTATTTGGATCCTCAGGAGACTTAACATTAGAGAGGCAGGTTTTAAAAGGTTCAGCAGAGGAGGGAGCTGGGACAGATTCAGAGGAAAAGGGAAGTTCAGCAAAGGGATTAGAATGAGGGAGCAGAGTATAGAGGAAGTGGGAGTCAGTTCAAAGAGAGGAAAATGGCATCAGAGGCAGGCCTGAGCACAAGGTGGCCACTAGGTGTCTAGAGACAGGATGGAGGGGGGGAAAAGAGGCCTTGGAACCCATTTTGGCTTCTTTCAATAGTTTGCCTCAGTGAATTCAGAAATATTTTGCAAAGAGGCCAATTTAGGATCCTGAAAATATTTGGAAGCCTCAAGTTATCAGTTAAAATAGGCATCCTATTCAGTTTTTGTCATCTTTGTTCTTTGAGCTGTGGCTATCTAATTTTGAGAAAAGCAAGCTTGGGGAGATGGAAAGTTCCCCATAATGGCCATTGGTATTCTAAATTACTTTTGGTTGAGTTGGTCCGTTTAGTTAGAAATGCACTTGAGGAGGGACCATAGTTTTTAAACATAAAACCAACTGGGTCCCAGAAAAGGGGGCACCCTCAAAGCATCTTGGTGACTGACATCACATTTCTCAGAGGCTTTTCTCTATAAAGCAGAAAGAAAAACTCCTACATTGTAGGGTTTCAACAGGAACAGACACTGGCTCCAAAAAGAATTGGACCAAAGGCCATCACTGTTACAGCAGGAACACCCTGGTTCTGAAAAGGAGTCAAACTGAAGGCCAGCACACTTACGCAAGGAACAGTCTAGTTGCAAACAATACTCAGACTAAAGTTAGCTAGCACAGTTCCACTAGGACAGTCCAGTGCCACACAGAAATTGGGTCACAGGCCAGAAAAGTACTCTGAGATAAGGGCAAAGCCCTAAAACAGAATTTTAAAGCCTGGAGGGCTCAAAAACTTAAGGTAGTGGAGCTCAAAATCCAGAAGAAAACTTACCCTCAAACTCTAGGGCTAGCAAGCAAGCACTGAGCTTAATGGGCTCGGTGGGTACCAGTACCCGTTCACTCACAAGCCTTGGAGTTGTTGGGGATCTTCTTTGGATGCCACTTCTGATCGCCAAGTAACGTTAACCTTAAAAACAAAACGGTTATTTTAGCAGAAAAGTGGGTTTATTCGGGAATAGATAATTGCAGTTTGGGGCATGCAAGCTAGGGCAAAGCCATAGGCAAGTCCATAGACAAGTCCAATAAGCAAAGCAGAAGAATGTTATTTTATGGATAAGGAGGAAATGGAAGGGCTTTTGAATGAAAGTGTTGGAGAAAAGCAAGAGTCGAGGGTAATGATGGTTTCTCATTGGCTGAGTTGCAGGGGTAGTCAGTTTCTCATAGGAGAAGGCAGGTTTTGTTGGGGCCTATAAAATCCATGATTCCTTTCTGTTGACAGCTCTGTTTTTGGAGTCTGTAATGAGGAGTAGTGGGGGCGGCTCCCCAGTTCCTCCTCCTAGCCTCTGGACTCCACTGGAGTGTGGTTTCCCTTTAAGAATTTTCACATTTTGTACCTGCTTTTTTTACTTTGCTCACTATCTTGGAGATGTTCTATTATCACTGCATGTGGACATACTTTTTTCTTGGGGCTGCATAATTTTGTATTTATTGGTTTACAGTTTATTTCATCATTTTTCTTTTGATGTGAGTATAGATGGTTTGTCTGTTTCTCTATTCTGCCACTGAATGTGATCACGAGACCTATTACTGTGAGCACTGTGCTACAGAGCATTCAAAGATGAATAGGGCAGCTTATTCTCTGATTGAAGGAACAGAACCTGGATCAGCATTATATGTGTAGTAGTAAGTGAAGAAGGGAGGCCTCTTGGGAATGTGCTATGGAAGCCTGAGTATAAATCTTCGCAGCTGCTTTCGAAGATGGAATACCACTGTACAGTTGATGTTAAAGCCCTAACCTGGCTCAAAGGGCCTGAGAACAGGTCAGCTTGGAATGGTAGTCCTTCCATTTAGTCAGCATTTGACCTTTCCAATGTGGAGGCTAGAAGGTCCAAGGATGGCCAGTGGCCATGTCTAGCCCATGATGAGCCATCTTGTCCCCAGAGATTGTCAGTTGTGTTGGCTGAAACCCAGTTCATTCTCTCTGGCTTCATTCTGTCTTCCAGATCAGGAAGCCTGTCAAGAAAGTGAGATCTCTTGTGTTTAGCTCACTTTAGTTCATTACATTTTCTCCTGAACTCAGAGGAAAGTGTATGAACAGATAAACCATCTAAGCAGTTGTTGTTTTGAACATTCTCTGTGGATTAGAAGGGGTACCCTATCTCTGCAAGTCCATTTAATTTTCACTACAAAAGATTAAAAGGGCCCTTTCTTATATATTGGTTTAAGGCCCAGAAATTAAACTTGAGCGATTAGAGAAGGATCAAGTACTGAGGATATGGAATATGCAGGGAAAAGGCTTGCCACTTGTGTGGCAGTATGATGCAGGAAGAGTGGGGCTACATGCAACATAACTTTCAAGCCTTGGCCCTCTATTAAAAGCAGTCTGGACTGTGCATATGTGCTTCATAGAATATGAGAACACTTCTCTTATTTTTGGCAAAGGATTTTGGTGGATCAGGATGGTGAGAGAAGCTGATTCCCAAATCAGAATTAATGAAAGTTTCCCCCGTATTTAGGAATACTATTTAAGCAGGGCTCCTCTTAAATTGTGTTGCTTACTTTTTTTTTCTATTTTAAATTATAGGGTGATAATGAAGAACAGGAAAAATTACTGAAAAAAAGCTGTACATTGTATGTTGGAAATCTTTCATTTTACACAACTGAAGAACAAATCTATGAACTCTTCAGTAAAAGTGGTGACATAAAGAAAATCATTATGGGCCTGGATAAAATGAAGAAAACAGCATGTGGGTTCTGCTTTGTGGAGTATCCTTCTTGTGTGTATGATATAGCTGTTCAAAAAGGATGGGGCCAAGTGTGCAGTCACCCGTGTAAAAAAATGAGTGAGAATATTTGATAACTAGCATGTCTACACTTATCTCTGCCTCTTGCCTTTGTCTCCTACTGTCTGTCTAGTGTGTCTACACTTACACTGTGAAAGCTAGTCATATTTACATTGTTGTAAAATCCTTGCTTTGTTTATAGCTGATTGTTTAAGAAAAACAGTCTTTCAAGAATATATGCTCATGTTGTTTAAATAAAGTCTGAAGGGCATAGTGAGAGTAAAATCCCTGTACCATTCTAAGCATAAAGACAATCAGTTACCACTCTTGGGGCTCTCTTTCCAGTAGTCCTGTGGATGGGTGATAGGGTACTGCATGCACCTTTTTTTTTCCACCTGTCTTAAGAGATTGCTCCCAGGTAGCATATACAGGTCTACCTTTTTAAAATGGGTATATAGTATTTCATCATGTAGATGTATACAAGCTCAATATTATAGGGGAAAACCAAAACTTTATCTACTTGGGGTCATTTATTCTCCCTAGAGATTCTATACTGAACCTCCTAGATTTATCCTTTGTTTTTTTTAATATATTTTACTAATATTTTCTTTTTTGGTAATATATTTATATTCTGAGAAATGTCTCAGACTTGATCCTAACATATCTTTTGAATTTTTTTTTCTGTGCCCTTAAGTGTATGTTTCTTTTGGTTGTATTTATGCTGTAAGTTTTCCATAAATGTTTGCTTATCCCTGGATTTTCGATTATAATTAGGAAACAGAAGGGTGACTTTGTGGACCCAAGCAGACTTCTTTCTCAAGCTGTGCCTCGCCTTTGAGATTTGTGAGTTTCCCAAATGCCAGAATGAAAAGAGATTTTATTTTGGCCTGCTAACATAAAAGACACAGCCTTAGGTCCTCCCGACAGTTCATTCAGAACCCTGTCATTTTATTTTTATTTGCCTCTTATTAAATGCCTTCTGCTAGCAGGTTCTTCCCACATGGAGACCTTTAATTAAACCCTGTTTTCAGCCTCACGTATTCAACTTTGAATTAAGAGCTTCCTGGGTTTGCTGTCTCCCTCTTTAAGCCCCTCAAGAATATTTCAAATTCTTTTTTTCTTCCATTGGCTTTTGTTAAATCTGTAGTCTGCTGATGGCCTCTTCTATTCTTTGAGTGTATGTTTTTTTCTATTGTTATAATAGGAGTCTTGAGAAGAGTGGAAAGAAATGTGCTCACTCTATCAGCTTGAACCAAAAGCCTCACTTTTGATTTTGATTTATTTCTGAGCTCTGCAAGCTGCTTCCATTCTCCCTTCAGACAGAAGGGATGAGAGCACCCAGGTTTTGCTTTGCTCTAGCAGCAACAGCATAAAATAGTTCATAGGGGACAGGGAACAACGAAAACAAAAGGCATAGGAAATCCACCTCCAAGATAATGATTAGTCTCTGAGAACTGGAATGTCTTTGCAAAATTTACCTTACAGGTGAAGATCAACAATCCTTAATAGCAAATAATGTAAAGAGAGGCTGCCATTGCTAGTGTTTTCTGCTTGTCCTTTTAGCAGTCTTTTCATTCATTCAACAAAACGTACTGAATGCCCACTATGTGCTAGGCATTGTGTAGATACTGAAAGTGCAGCAAGTGCTTACCTGTGTAATTAAAGGGGGGAAAATATCCAGATCAGCAGTTCCTAACTCCAGCTAATAATCAAATGCCTCCAAGAGATTCTTTTTAATACCACCCCAAAGATAGATTTAGTAGATCTGATTAAATATGTTTGGGAACTACTAACCTGAATACTTTGGGTCTTTCCTTCTAGTGAAGTGCATTGACAATTCCATTTGCACTGTGACCTTTTTGTTAAGATTGTTCTTGAATATACAGCTCCAAATTTGGATGCTGTTTTCCTTGGATAAGAAGTGTGCAGTTTGTGATCTAAACCTCCACTGAACATTTTATATTTTGCAAACCAAAATAAGGGGACAGTGGAACTATTTACAGGATCATCCAGGAAGTCATGATCATTATAGCCATGGATAAGTGTCGTATTTGACTCAACTCTGCTTCTAGACCAACCTTAAACAGGCCTGTGCAAGTCAGATTATCGTCTTTGAACTCCAGTCAGGTTGGGTAAGTTACACTTTTTCTTAGCTGTTTTATTTAGATGTTGCTTTCTGTATTTCCAGGAATGTTTGGAGAAATGCTATGTGGTGTTCCTTAATACTTTTACTTAAGATACTATTCAAGAGCAGATGCAGAAAATGCCATGCGGTACATAAATGGAACTCGTCTGGATGACCGAATCATTCGCACAGACTGGGACGCAGGCTTTAAGGAGGGCAGACAGTATGGCCGTGGGCGATCAGGGGGCCAGGTATGCAGGAAAATTCTCTGAACTCAGCCTTTGCGTGGCATTCCAGTCCTATGACAAGTGATTTGTCGATTTATATTTGTTCTTTGAATAACTTTGTGCCTGTAACCTTGGCTTAAAGTGAATCTGAAAACCACACATTGAGATTGGTATTTTTTTAAACTATGAGGTAGTATACGCTGTTCATTTCTACAAGCCAACTATTGTTGATCTGTTAGGGACTTGATATTTTTCACCTCCAAGAGTGTCTAGAACAAAGCAATATACACCGAAGAATTTTACATTTTATTTTTAAATAAATAACCTAATTTAAGTAAGTATTCTTTGGAATGTGGTATTTTTGAATGCTGTGAATTAAGTATGAACCTGATGTTTGTTAAAAAACCCATTAGGTAGTCTTAATTTCGCAAGGCAGTTGAGCTTTATGAGTGTTCAGTTCTGTCCTGCTTGAACATAATGTTCACATTATGACATCTGAAAAGGCTTAGCTGTTTTGACATATTCGTGGGAGGCATATGTGTTACACCAATTTTTTCTGTACTGTAACTTGTGTTCTTTTCAACTTAGGTACGAGATGAGTATCGGCAGGATTATGATGCTGGGAGAGGTGGCTATGGAAAATTGGCCCAAAACCAGTGAGTGGTGAGAGCCCCATCATGAAAACCCACTCCTTTGGTCTGCTGAATTTGACATGCATTATCCAAGTTCTGCAAACCTGCCTGTTTTTACCAAGCTTTGATCAGTGTCTCTACTGAGTTGGAAGCCTCTTCATTGTTTTCCTCTATTAAAGGACAGAATCCAGAAGAATGCCTTTAATTCTGTAGTCTTAGAATCTTGACTTATGTGTCAGGTTACCAGAATTATTTTGTTACCAGATCAAAAATTGTGTTCCTTGGCAACAGATTAAAGTTGATCTTCATCAGCCAAACACACCACACTTCTTTAAGGAAGAGAGGAAACAATTTTAAATTTATTTACCATGTTTGTGTCTAAGTAGGTTCATGGTCTGCATTAACACCTGAAATTATTTGAGAAATTTTAAGTTTACATGAGATAGAAAGTTTAATACATGGAGTGGTGTTATGTTCTATGGCTTTGGTCTAAATTAGGAACATGTGTGACAGCTTAATGTTTTTTGTGTTGAATTCTTATTTCTAAAGGCAGATTTAGGAGTCAAGGGAACTTTCTAAATAGTTGATGCAAAAGTAAGCCTTAGACAGTCCCCGGGGATGCCACCTTTTGTGCTTTTGTGCTTTATGTATCAGGAAATTAGGTACAAGACTTGAGAGTATTTACTAAATGCATTTTTCAAAAGATGTATTTAAAGCTTAAAAAAAAAAAAAGCAAGGGCTTGTAGTATTAGAGAACCTCAAACTCTACAGGGGGAGGGGGTTGGGGAACAGTAGGAAATGGGACAAAATACCAGGGGACATAGTTAAAACATGGCTGCTGTGAGGGCCATCACAGTTATTTTCATTTTCAGAGTGATCTTGGGAGTGGAGTGAGTTTAAAAAGAGCTTAAAAATCGAATGTTTAACAGAAACAAACAATCAGAAACAATTCCTGGAGGAAATGTGTTTTGCCCAATTCTTACATTGATATCTCTCGCTTTTTCTCTAATTGTGGTTACTGAGTTTTAGAGCTTTGATAATGAGCTGATGGTCTCTACAGAGAATGGAGGCTAGACTATTTTGCATTTGTAAGGCAAGAGGTGATTTCTCTCTGATATTAATGGGATCTGTTATTGCATGTTTAAAACTATTAGTCTGACTTACCTGACGTAAGTGAAATTTCTTATGTAGCAATAGAGTATCTCCTAACTTCCAGTGGTTTGTGAATATTGGGGCTTCAGTGTGAACATCTTTCATGTTATATAGTATGTATAGGTTTTCTAATTAAATTCAAACTGGTTATTTGAATTTTTAAAAGAACTGTAACTGGTTCTAAGTTCTTAAAAAAACCATTGGCAAATACTTAGTGAGAACATACTATTTGTTTTTCAAGTTTCTTTTTACACTGTGGTCTGAAGTAGTATATTTTATATTCTTATGTTTTATGTAAAACATAATTCAGATTTTTGTAGGCCTGGGAACCACTGAGTGGTTCCTATTTTTGTGGTTTCCTATGGATTTCAATAAAGTTGGGCCAGCTTATAGTATGTCTGTGCCCATTTCCTCACCTTAATAAGGAGGACATTGGAACTGTCTTACTCTGGAATATTTATGAATGTGTTTTGTGGGAAAACTGTGAATGTGTAGAATTTACATGTCCATTTTGATTTGACAGTTACTCAGTGTGGTAGCCACATACAGCTAATTGACCAAGTTAAAACATTCCTCAGTCACACTAGCCACATTTCAAATGCTCAGTAGTCACATGTGCTAGTGGCTGTTGTAGTAGAAGCAAATACAGAGTATTTCCATTGCAGAAAATTCCACTGGACAGTGCTGTTTAAGGGCAGGATGTTTAAAGCCTACCCTGGTTACTGTTCATAAATGAGCCTTATGATGACTGGCATGTTATTAGGAAAAATTACTACTCACTGAACAGTACATGTTATTCAACACAAGAGAACAGACATTTATAAAGGCATTAGTTTATTTTTCAAAAAATACTTTTGCTAGAAGGTTTGAGTAATTTTACATCACAATCTTTAAATAATTTCTTCTTCTGACCAAAGGTACCATTTAGTGAACAGCTTGTCTAGGTCTGCTTTTATAACACCCAAATACAATTAGCACTTTCTGATGGTATTCCCTAGGTCTTCCTAACTATCTACAGGCCAGGAGGCACGAGTGTTGCACATAACAAAGTATGTGCTTTGTAACTGCCGATTAGTTCAGTTTCTTAGCATAATTAAGCAGAGCAGGTAGTCAGTATATCTAATTCACACTATTAATACACTGTTTTTCACCTGAAGAGTTTGTTCCACTTAGTGTTCGCAGTTCTCTCTTCTAACCCAGGGAAGGAGTGAACCACAACTGCAGAGAAAAAGGTCAGTTCAACTAGGCTAGTGCTGACTGTGTCCCAGCTAGAGCTGTTACTATTTTCCCCCAACTATGGATTTAAGATAACCAGTGTTACTTGTATCCAATGATAAGTAGAAAAGACAATGGAAAACCAAGAAGTGATTTGGGGGTTACTGGCAGCAACAGCCTTTCTCTTCCATAAGAGAAGGGTGGCTTCTCCACAATTCTTGAGACAACTAAAAGTTGAATGAATCTATATTGATTGCTACAGACTTTTAACAAAAGAAAAAGTCACTGGTAGAAGCAACTATGGACTGCTAAGTTTGCTGATGGAGAGGCCTGGGGAGCCTGTTGAAGGCACATCATAAGTAGCTTCTGGTTTGTATGAGGCCTACATACAATCCGAAAAGCATGAAGTCTGCCCACCTTGTGGGGCCCCAGCAATTCAGTGCCAAGCTAATGAGTAAAACAATGCCTGTCTCTTCCACCAACAGCCCAAGCTAAATTTCAAAAATGTCTTTGTTGCATGGAAACAATTATTACAAACATCAGGACAAAGGCCATTATAATGTAGAACTTAGGCTAAGTAGAGGTTTACACCTAGTCACAAGAGTGGGAAAAGCAACTGTGTGTGCTAAAACTTAAGTTTCGTGAACAGAGAAACACTTCTAACCACTTATTTTACAGCTAAAGCATGCTGGACAGTGCACTTCAGCATGCCCTATTAAGCTGGAAGTGAAAGAGAAATTAGACTTGGACAGCTCACTTGAGGTTCTCTATGCTCATCCCTGCATGCCTCAGTGCCGAGAGGATGACCCATTTCTCAGATGGAGTTACTGCAACAACTCCAGCTTTTGGGCAGTAAGATTCTTGCCAGAACATAGTTCTCTTTCTCCTGCATGCCTGGTTCTGTCAGTGAGGAAGTGAGATGTGGAGCCTACAGTGTAAGACATTTTGAATGGATAGATTAGTTACTGGCTACTTTGTACAGCTACCAGGAAAAAAGAAAAGGCAAATGTCTCACAGATTTGGAGTTTGCATAAATATGTAACATCAAGATATAGGAACCTGTATATTTCATAATTAGAAAACCTCAAGACATTCTCTATACTTTCAATTGTCATCTTTCCTAATGCTGACACGGCCCTACCTGTAGCAGCATAAAGTGCCTCTAACCTCAGCCTTTTTAATGACTTGAAGCACAGTAAGGAATACTGACCTGGTTTTATACTGAGGAGTTTGCATCTGGGGGACTTAGGAAAGTGCTGGGGCTGTTTGCATTGTAAATACTGGTGTCAGAGCTGGAATGTCTGAGGACAGGAACCCTCTATGTAAACATGTACTGCCTCCACCCTCAGCTGCTGGCAGTCAGCCTTACCTTATGCCCAAGTTAAACTGCATGTTTTAGCTTTTCATTTTCAACACCCCACATCTAACTAGATAGAAATCCAAGTATCTTCTGTCATTTAATTGGTTTCTCTGTACAAGCTTCTGAATTTCTTATATATACATGTTGTTCTCCTGTCCTGGTTTAGAAAAGATAATTGGGTCATTTAACACTCATCCTTCTTTATTTTCTTTCCTTTCAAATAACACCAAAGGCTAAAGATGTGAGATATATTCCAGCTAAGTGTTAAGGACAGGGCCACTTCCGCTTTTCCCCAGAAGATGGTATTGATAGAAGAAAAAAAAAAAAGGACTCCTGTGCTGGAGTCTCAGGGTTGGTCAAGCAGAGACCACATTAGGAGCCCTGCATGTTGCCAAGATAAAAAAAGATCAGAGGAAAACTCTGACATGTGCTGTACTTCCACAGAATTAAGTTATCTTTATTAGCTTTCCTCTTCTCTCCTCCCAACCCACCTGCAGAAGACCCAAAGTCAGTCTTCAGTTTTAAGTGTTTATATTTTAAATACCCCTTAAATAGAAAGGTATTTGGTAACTCTTTAATTTCTTCCATATAGGAGACAAGGGAACTGACGAGGAACAAGGTAAGTTTCCCTTAGCAAGGCTGAATTCTCACTTGTTTGACCACTGGTTTGATGGGTATTTTTTAATGGGTCAGAACCAGAAAAATCCAGGCAATTCAGTGTTCCAGCAAGAAGCCTTTATAAGTTAGGCATTTATGGTAATTCTTCTTAGAATCAAGATTGAAATCTCTTATGTGTTAAGACAACTGGAAAGGTCATTATCTGTCTTTCATACTTTAATCAACTCTTCCCAAAGCAAGCACTGTGCTTACAACTGGGCCTCCATAAATAGAACACAATAGTTTATGGCCACTTCCTTCTCACCCTTCAAAGGGAATGCAACTCACTCTCCAAGACCCACTTGGAGACAGAAGTTAGTGAAAGGTGCTGCTGGTCAAAGTGAAACAGGACTGGCTTTGTCAAAACCACTCCCAGCTACTCTTTATGCCCCAGGGAATATCTACTATTCTGAGTTATGTTGTATCAAAACCATCCTGCATTTTTAGGTTCAGGATTAAATTTTAAACCTGTATTCAGTTCACATCTAACTAAACTATAAAAGCTGCACCAAATTACTAGGCTTTTTTTTTTTAATACTCTGCATTGCATGCTCTGTCTATATGCATGCTTTTGGATAATAAATATTAAATATGGGGAGGACACACAGAATCCATAAAATTAAAAATGAAACCAAACTGAACATTAAAAAATAGTACATGGTAGGTAGAGAAATGAATATGGGCAGAAATAAATTTGAGGTAACAGTAGTGGCCCAACACACCACCAATCTGAAATAGCTATAAAAATTTAATTAAGTTTGGAGATTCAAGTAACAAACCATCTGCTCTAACTTGGTCAGACTTTCCAGAGTCCCTGCAGAGTTTCAGTCCATGAGCCGGCACTCACAAAGCTCCTTGTAAATCCTCTTCCGCACTCTGGGCATGTCTTCTTGGGAAAACTGGAAAGGCTGCTCTAAGGCGAGGCACTTGCAGTACTGCAAACATCCCAGAAACACTTAAGTGGCATGTGGAGTTATGTACCAGCCCATTGTATTTTACCAGATGCAGACCTAATAGGATAGGGTCTAAGGCAGCATTTTAAAGGCTGTTTAAACTGGCTGTAAAACACACTGTCTTAAAGTTATAGCCAACTTCCCAGGCAACTTAGTGTTTGGGATCTCTTCTCCCTCTCCACTCAACACTATGAAAAGCAGAAAGTGATAAAGAGGCTCCAATTCTTCTCAAGGTGCAACCTGCTGAGAATGCAGCTAGACCTAACATGGCCTTTAAGGAGAACACGAATTTGTTTACAGACCCGACATTCATGAGTCATGTGAATGAGCCCATCTTCCAAGATCTTTGCAAATCCCTAAATTCATGGATTTTTATACTATAATTTCCTTCACAGACAGAATGTATGGCCATTTTTTCAATACCTCTTTTAGACCATAAGGGAACCTACAGCACAAAAAAAGTGGTCAGTATTTAAAATCTAAGTTGTTTTTACTCTATAAATACCATTTGCTAATAGTTAAAAAAATCAGGACAGTGTCCAGTATAGCTTACTAATAACTTCTGATAAGACACTGGTGATACCAGTTATTCATTCTTAGCCTTAGAAGGTGATTCTTCCTAATCTGAAATCTGAAATGCAGATATTGAACTGAAAATGCAGTAACTACTGCTTCTCAACAGGGGGAGGGAGGAAAAGTACTCTGCTACCTATCTTAGTACCATGGATACATTAGAGGAACTCCCACTTCTATCTAAACCCAAAAATAGTTCACACATGGTAAATTCTGAAAAAAATAGTATCTTTACCTGGAGCACAAAGACTCCACAGTCACTGTCATTTTTCTGCTGTGGAATACACTAAGAGAAAAAAACAAAATGATCATTAAAAATAAGACCAAGTACTTTCCAGATAAGGAAACTTTTTAGGGAAAAACAGACAAAAGATGGGGAACTTGTCTCTATCCAGGACAGCTGGTGTATACCTCTGGTATTTGAAGTATTTGATTTTATGGAGGAATCTGGCCACATGGAAGAGCTATCAATCAACCACAACTTTTAAAACAACATTTTGCCTAAATATAAGAAATGGGAAATCCTATTTTAAAACTTCCATTTGGATAATTGGATTTTTTACCAATTCACCAATAATAGAATTGTGGATGACAGAACATACACCTGGACTCTGACTTAGTTACAATCTAGCTTTAGCATTCTTCTTCACTTTTCATTTCTTATTACACAACTCTGTCCTATTCTTTGAAAGAAATCATAAAGGTAAGTGATAAGCATTCAAAAGAACTGGTCACTCTATTCTGCCTACAGTGGGAATATGAAAGATCCTGACTAAATTTAGAATACTTGAGTATTCTAGTTGGGTAAATACAGGAAATTTCCAAGTTCAATTCTTCTTTGAACTCATAGTAGGTTATTTAAAATGCAAAACAAGTTTAAAATGTAGCATTAGTTCAGTTCAAGAATGAACAAATAATCTTGTCCCTCTGGGTTTCGGTTAAAGGTTTGTTTCAAGACGCTGCCTCTTTAACACTGTCAGTAATCCAGACAGACCTGACTCTACCAACAGTTTTGATGGCTTTGGGGAAGGTTACACCTAGGCTACACTTTTCTCACCTATAAAGATAATGCTTATCCCTAAAAGACCTGTCTACCTCACAGGTTATAAAGACCAAATGAGAGATACATGCAAAACACTCTAAAATTAATAAAGTAGTGACTATAAAGTGTAAGACACTGGTATTTGTGACAGGACAGAGGCTATGCCTGGGCCCCACTTAGAACTTTAATGTCTATGGGCCAAACACTGCTGCATCCAGACTGTGTTCAAACTGAAACACTCAGGCCACTGTCTTCCCCAAATGTCTGCAAATTAGTCCAGTGTACTTGCTCCCTTAGTGGGACAAATACTCATTTTTACTTGACAGATCTCTGGGTCTGTACGGGTCATCTGGAAACAAAAGCCATGAAGCAAGAGGCAGGTGCTACCAAAAAGAAAAATATATACATATAGTTCTATTTTTTCCTTTTTTTTTTTTCAATAGAGCAACTGTATCATTTGCAGCTGCCTCAGGGAGGAAGTGGCTGGATTTATTCCCAGCGCAGTGAGATGATGAATACTAAATGAAAGTTTTATTCTGAGCTGCTTTCCTGCAGCCTCCAGGCTCTCCCTTAGTAACTTCATCACCAGTGTTCAAATGCTTTTAAAGATACCCACCCCTTAGATAGTTCCATCCCCTTGACATGACTGGGTTTTCATTTTTGTCATTTACTTACCTTTGTAACAGCAGTCTGCCAGCCCTGAAGAAATTCAGGTCTATTTTTTTCTCTGGCTTCAGTCAGCAAATACTTTCTTATATTCTGGTTAAAAAGAAAGCACAACACAGATGCTGTGTTCCATCAGTTGGTGAAAAAATGGAAATTGCCCACAGCAGACAGAGGCAAAGGAGGAGGCCTTGGCCCCACCATTGGGCAGAGTATGCACTAAAGAATTTAAAGCTGGAATTTTATTTCAGACCTTTCACTTCATAGTTTTAAGAAAGACTCAGACCTTCTATACTCAGGTATGCACTTAAACTGTAGACATGGAATACATTTTTATTAGAACTTATGTCTTTTCCAGCAGTAAGTCAACTTGCTGAATTTGAAATGTAACTGAATACTGGCAAGACAAAAAGAAAGTCTTCATTACTGCCAATACTCCATAGAGGGAAAGAACCTGTCACAGAAATCACTAATAACTGAAACTAAATGAAACTAAACATTATCTAGCCTTAGATATGCTACATATTTTTGAATGCTTCAGGTAAAGATATCATTCAGTTTCTAGAAAGTTACACTTAAACCTATTCTGGATACTAAATACAGTTAAGTCCACTATGAAAAATCTCTATGAAGATGCAGTTTACTGGAGTTTCAAATTTCTCCCTATGCCCTCAAGGGACCTCTTTGTGCATCTCTCTCTCTGAATCTCTTTGAAGGGTGAAGTCAGGGGTTATACGAATTAAACTGACCTCCCTGAAGGCAGAGAAGCGGAAGTATGTGTGTATGGGTATATATGCAGTATGCATTTGTATGTGCATATACATGGATGCATACATGTATTTTCTTTCCACATTATACTACATCATTCTGCAACTTGCTTTTCTAAACTCAGTATGTCTGGAAGATCTTTCCATGTTAGAACATGGAGATCTAAACTATTAACTGCTATGGTCAGTTTAATAGTATAGTGTAGGTATTTTAGCTGTTCTGTTGGTAGAGCTAAATTCAGGTTTTTTCCATTTTTTACTAATGCAGTGCATATCCTAGTGCATGCCCCATCCTTGTGTGCATGTATAAGCATTTCTGTTGAGTAAATACTAAGAAATAGAACTGGTATGTAATAAGAGAGTCACCTTTTTAATTTATAATGCACTTAGAAATGATCAGAATTGCATTTTTCCCTAAGTGGCTATGACAATATACTTCCACCAGAAAATAATGAGAATGCTTGTTTCTATTCACCCACATAAACAATAGCATCAAACTTTTCCTAATATAACAGGCAAAAATGGAATCCTAATGTGGTATTAATTTGCATTTCTATCTGGCAAGCCTGAGCATCTCTCCAATGTGTTTAATGGTTATTTGCATTTTTTCTGAAAAATTACTTATTTTAATCTTTGTCCATTCCTATTAATCCTTTTCCTTATTCATTTGTAGTTCTGTATACATTCTTGATAGTGACAACTGTGTATGTCACAAACATTTTGTCTATCCCTTGTCTTTTAACTTGGTACACAGGAGGATTAAATTATGGTATGGTCAAATCTTTCAATCTGTTCCTTTGTTTTGCTTTTTTGGTTATATGTAAGGCCTTCCCTACTCTAAGAACATAATACATCTATGTTTTATTGTAAATCTTATAGTTTTGTGTTTTATATTTAGGTCACTGTTTCATCTGGAATTTGTTGCTTTTTTTTTAAGTATGAAGTTAAAGGATGTATAGTTTACCTGCCCAAACTTTCCCAGTGGCATATATTGAACAGCCTGTCCTTTCCCAACTTAATCATATATTAAATTCCCACATATACATGAGTTGTTTCTAGATTGTCTCTGCTGTTTCACCAATCTACTTGTCTACTCCTGAGCCAAAAATCAATAGTTTGTGATACGGTTTGACATCTAGTAGACCTACTATTCATTCCTTCATTGTTCTACTTCAAAAATGTTTTAGCTGTTTATGCACATGAATTCTGCAATATGAATTCTAGGACAAGCTTATCAGATTTCATTCAAAATGCTGTTGGAAAACTGATTTGGATTGAAATTGGTATATTCAGTTTGGGGAGAGTTGATCTCTTTAGAATGCTGAATATGCCTTATCTTTCCATCTATTCAGATTTACTTTAAATATTTTATTAGAGTTTTCATCTTAAAGAGCTTTCATGTTTTTTGCTGGGGTATATCCCTGGGTAGTTTATGTATTTGTTGCTTTTGAAAATGTAGTCTATCTTCAGTTACTTTTTTTTTCTAGCTGATTCTTGCTAGTGCAGGAAAAGCAGGAAACCTACTTGTTTTTCTTGCTTTATATCCCACCATCTTGTTGGAACTCTTGCTAGCTGAACGCTAATATTTTGTCAGTGATTCTCTTGGTTACAATTCATTCTATGTAAGTTATTTTGAAGATACAAGCCAATTTTAGCTCTAAAAGAAACCAAGGAAAATTACTTCTATCCACATTCAGCAGTAGTTTTAAGGGGACAGCAGAAAAAATGTGGCAAAATCCAAACAGGGTATGTATCTTAGAGAGGGTTCCAGATTGTAGACAGTAACCACTCCCCACCTGGAGATGATTCTTGTAGTTCTTTTCTCTGACAACATTAAATTAGAGGGCTTTCATGACAGAAATGGATCTTCTCTGATACTGATTTCTGTTGTTCTACATAGAACTAAGACACTGTTTGATTAGTCATAAGGTAAATGAAAAAACAGGCAGTGTAAACTTACCTCTACACAAAATTTAAAATGAATGCCTTGGGAATCATAAAATGAAATAATTCTATTAGAGAGTGTCACAGTAATGAGAGACCAGTGGACTTCCAGGTGAATGGGAATCAACAGGAGACTCTTTTTAAACAAATCCACCTGATTAAGAAAAGAAAAAGAAATGCAGCCATCATGACAGGCTATCCAAACAACAAATAGCTTCCATTAATTGACCTTTGACCTGCCCATGGTCATAAAACTAGGAAGTGGTGAAGCCAGAATCTGAATCCAGGTCTTAGTCTAAAGCCCGTGCTAATAACTACTAAGCTACAACACACAACACTAAGACAACTGAAGATAAAAAAGCACTATTTTCTATTTAGTCAGCCAAACCTGTGCAGCAACTGCCTAGTTAAGACTTGGCTCCTTATTCTTATGCTTAGCTAATTTTCTTCTGTATATATTTGAACTAGATGCAATTCTTATTTAAGAAGGAACTGGAGTATATTAGAAAACAGCATAGGCTATATGCCTTCTGTCTTTCCACAGAGTGTAGTAGTTGAAATCATGGGCTGTGAAGTAAATCTGGTCGAGTTCAAATTGTGGCTATTCCACTTATTGGCCAGATGACTTTGGCAGTTTTTATAGCTTCTTTGTGCCTTGATTTCCTCAATTATAAAATACAGATAATAACAGGCACCTACCTTAAGAAATTGTTTAGAGTGACAATACATGTAAAATGCATTAACTGTGCTTATTACATTATATGTAGCCAATAAATCTTAGCTATTATTATTACTACATATTGAGAGTTCCCCAGATGTAGAGATTAAGTATCGTTCATAATTCTTTACACATCCTTTATATCCTAATTCATCCCTTATATCCTGATAGATATATATATCCTTTACAATCTAGAAATATGCTATTACACTCAAAATCCCAGTTATGGATTGGATGATAAGGTAATAGGTGCTCAATAAGCATTTGTAAAAGAATTTAAGAATTTCTTTTTTTTTTTTTAGAGTATTTTAGTGACTCCTTGGGTTAAAACAATTACAAGGTTATTTTAAACTATGTCAGATTTTTAGAAACTATTTCTCAAGCCTTCCTTGATTTCTGATATTCAGATAATGTCCTGCTTTAGATGAATCTTCTACTAATCTACATGACCTTGGAGCAAAGCACTTTAGCACCTCTGCTTTTCAGTTTCAGCATCCATAAACCTGAGTGGTGAGGTGGACAGAGGAATTATTAGATAGGAGAGACAACTGATCCTTTCCAGCTCAAAACTGAGTATCTAAAACAAGGAATCATCTTTAAAATACAGACTTAAAAAACATGAAATTTACTTCTCAAAAAGAAACTTTTTCTTAATTATAAAACATTTTTAAAAATTAAATTTAGAAAATACAAATACACTTCAGTGTCTATCCTTCCAGATCTTTTTCTTTTTAATAAATTTTTTACACACATACAATTTAATGCATATAATTAAGAGTGATGTGTTTGGCAGATTGTACTTTTGGTCCCAATTATTTGTTAGCCTCCCTATAAGATGATTGTGCAGAACTGCCTATTGCCATGTGGTCTCACTGCCCCTTGTAGGGGAGAAATGCAGTCCTGTCATGTGATTTGCTTTAAATGCATTGTAAACAGGTTGCTTATGCCATGACTAAGTTTAAACTTCAGGACCCACCATGTAGCCCTGAGACTACCATGTCTCAAAATTAGGTGCTGCTCCTTCAGTATGGGTCCAATTTAAGGAATAAAGATGAAAAACCATAGGACCATCTCCTTAGATGCACAAAAAACTATTTGCTAAAACTCAATAACCATTTATAATTAAAAACTCTCAGCAAACTAGAAACAGGAGAGAACTTAACCTGACAGAAAGCATCTATAAGCTATATCATAAATAGTAGCAAACGCTTAATGCTTTCCTCCTAAGATTGAGAAAAAGGTAAAGATTTCCTCACTACTTCTATTCAACATTGTACTAGAAGTCATAGCCGGTGCAGTAAGGTAAGAAACAACTGATACACAGTTTAGAAAAGAAAAAAATAAAACAGTCACTGTATACAGTCATGAATGCCTATGAAAATCTCACAGAATCTGTAACAAAGCTCCTACAATTAGTGTGTGATTTTGGCACAGGCACAGGATATAAAATCAACATACAGGAATCAATTTCTATAGTAGCAAATAAGTGGAAGATAGCATTTTAAAAAGTTTATGACAATTTTAGAAGTATGAAATACTCAGGAATATGTTTTTAAAATATGTGCAGGATCTGTAAACTAAGAATTACAAAATATTGCTGAGAAAAATTAAAGACCCAAATAAATGGAAAACATACCATAAAGGCTGTGAGACTTAATATTGTTAAAATGTCCATTCTCCCCAAATGAATTTATACATTAAACACAATCCCAATCATAATCTAGCAGGTGTGTTTAAAGCATTCACAAGATGATTCTACAATTTATTCGGAAATACAAAGGACTTAGAATTGCCAAAATCATTTAGAAAAAGGATGATAAAGCTGGCCAACTTACACTGATTTCAAGGCATACTAAAAAGTTACAGTGATCAAGACAGTATGGTATTTGTGTAAGAACAGAGATCAATGTAAGAACATAATCCAGAAATACACTACACTCACAGTATATGTGGCCAACTGACCTTCTACAAATGTGCCAAAGCAAATGGAGAAAGAGAATTTTTTTCAGCAAATACATTAAACAAATGGAAAATTGGATGGAGGAGCAAAAAATTTAAACAACTTTGATCCAAAAACTCGGTTTTTATCTTACACAAAAATTGAGATGCATCAGAGATATAAATGTAAAACCTAAAGCTATAAACCTATTAGAAGAAAACATGAAGTTAGTTATTTTTAGACTGGATATAGAAAGCAAGAACTATAAAAGAAAGAAATATGGTAAATTAGACTTCATCAAAATTTTAAATCTCCACTCATAAAAAAACATGGATAAGTAGAAAGGACAGGTCCAAGGTGGTATATAAAGAACATGAACATGGTTCCTCTCACGTACATACAAAATCACCTATACATACAGCAGTTCAACCTGAGGAAGAACTGAGCTGTGAGTGAACACCTGCACACTGAAAGATAAAAAGACCTCATAAAAAACATGCAGGAGAGGAAGGAGCCAAGATGGCAGCGTGAGTTGGTCAGTGGAAATCTCCTCCCGAAAACATATATTTTTGAAAATACAATAAATACAACTATTCCTAAAAGAGAGACCAGAAGACACAGGACAACAGCCAGACTACCTCTACACCTGTGAGAACCCAGCACCTCATAAAAGAGGTAAGATACAAGCCACAGCCCAGCGGGACCTGAGCAACACCCCAACCCCAGCTTCCCGGCGGGAGAACAGGAGTTGGAGCGGGGAGGGAGAGGGAGCCCGGGACTGCTAAATACCCAGCCCTAGACATCCGCACCAGGAGCGCAGACACACAGTGTGTGGTGTACTGGATACTAGGGAAGCGGGACAGTAAAATCTGCGAGTGGGTCCCCACAGCTGGCGCCCCTGGGACAAAAGAAAAGTGAGTGCTTTTTGAAAGTCCTAAAGTGACAGGGCCCTCACAGCTGGACGGAAGCATCCTGGTGCAATCAGCCCCGCAGCTGGGAATCCCAGAGAACTCTGGGCGCCCTAACCCCTGGGCAGCAGCCCAGCTTGGAGGCCCCTCACAGCGATAAACAGCCTTCCGCCCATTCCTCCTCTGTCACGGCCCCACCATAGCAGAGGACCAGCCTGAAAGCAGCCATGCTTACATCAACCACGGGGCTTAACTCCACAGTGGCCAGGCAAGAATCAGAGACCCTGCTGTGCACAGCTGCCTAGCACAAGCTGCTAGGGGTTGCCGTTCTCCCAGGAAAGGAAGGCCAGGAGCAAGTGGAAAGGATTGTGGTTCTCCCAGCTGACACATATGCCAACTACTTACAACTACCTCTATCGCCATGAAAAGGTAGACGAATTTGATACAGACCAGACTACCCCAGACATCCTCCCCTGAGAAGGAATCTGGGGAGATAGACCTAACCGATCTTCCTGAAAAAGAATTCAAAATAAAGGTCATAACCATGCTGATGGAGCTGCAGACAAATATGCAACAGCTAAGAAGGGAGAATACAGAAATAAAACAATCTCTGGAAGGACTTTAAAGAGGAATGGATGAGATGCAAGAGGCCATTAATGGAATAGAAATCAGAGAACAGGAGCACAGAGAAGCTGATGCAGAGACAGATAAAAGGATCTCCAGGAATGAAAGAATATTAAGAGAACTGTGTGACCAATACAAAAGAAACAATGTCCACATTATAGGGGTACCAGAAGAAGGAGAGAAAAAGGGATAGAGAGTGTCTTTGAAGAAATAATTGCTGAAAACTTCCCCAAACTGGGGAAGGAAATAGCCTCTGAGACCACAGAGGCACACAGAACTCCCAACACAAGGGACCCAAGGAGGACAACACCAAGACACACATAATAATTAAAATGGCAAAGATCAAGGACAAGGACAGAGTAGTAAAGGCAGCCAGAGAGAGAAAAAAGGTCACCTACAAAGGAAACCCATCAGGCTATCATCAGACTTCTCAACAGAAACCTTACAGGCCAGAAGAGAATGGCATGATATATTTAATGCAATGAAACAGAAGGGCCTTGAACGAAGGATACTGTATCCAGCATGATTATCATTTAAATATGACGGAGGGATTGAACAATTCCCAGACAATGCAAAAGTGAAGGGAATTTGCATCCCACAAACCACCTCTACAGGTATTTTAGAGAGACTGCTCTAGATGGAGGCCCACATAAGGCTAAACAGATACCACCAGAGAAAATAAAATCACAGCAAAGAAAGTGGAACAATCAAATACTAACTAAAGGCAAAATATAAAATCAACTACCCACAAAAGCAGTCAAGGAAACACAAAAGAGCACACACACACAAAAAAAACACGTGACATACAAAGAATGGAGGAGGAGGAATAAGAAGGGAAGGAAATAAAGAATCATCAGACTGTGTTTATAATAGCTCAATTAAGTGAGTTAAGTTAGAAAGGAAGATAGTAAAGAGGCTACCCTTGAACCTTTAGTCACCACGAACCTAAAGCCTGCAATGGCAAT